CTGTTTTTATATGTAGTTTGTCTTCAATCTCCTCAATACGATTTTGTTGTTTACGTCATGTCAGATATGTCAGTACAGTCTGTAACCTGAGGGGTTATTTCTTTAATTATCTAGGTATCTTTAATTAATTATCTATTTAATTCTCGAAAGAGTTACTATTTAATTCTCGAAAGAGTTACTATTTAATTCTCGAAAGGGAGTTTATTATCATTAGATATACTTTAATTGACACGTGTGAACTTAGAAATGTTGTATGTTCAGAAAATTACTTCCAAGCACTTTCATTGCTTACGTGGGATGTAATACAGTGGCTGGCTATACAGGGTAGCACTGAAGTTGGAGAAACAAAAGGAAACACAAAACTTCCAGTAAGGTTTTTATTAACAATAAACCAAACAAACAAACAAAATAAAAACACAACGGCTCGACGACATTATTAATTAATTTATTTACACACGACAGCGTACCTAGATTCAGGGAATGCGCGCTTTATAAAAAAATTGGAAAAACTATTAAATTTAATTAATTAGCCCGAGACTCTAAAGTTAATAATTAATCTGCTCAATGTGCAACCTAAGGCCGAACTGCCGTTTTCTTGCAGATCCTTCTCGAAGTCCACAATTCGCTTTGAACACGCCCATTTCTTGGGTCCAGAGGTTTCGGTTCTTATCTTATTGGTGGGGACCTGAATATCGGGATGCTTTAATAATTATGTAATTGACTGAATTTACATTTATAACAATAATTATATGACTTCTAGTAACCCTAGCCTTCCCCTATGACTCCGCGTAGCAATTACGGGACGGATTAGTCGACCTCATTTAATCTACTCTTATAGCTAGGAAAAATCCGTCAAAAAGCTTAAGTATACTCTCTTTTCGAATTACTATCAATTTTACAATATAATTTAATTCTAATCTGGAATCTCCACGCTCTTCTTGTGGTTTGGCGCGTTATTAAAAAGATGGGGTTCTACGCGGCGCCTCCCAGACGCTTAACACATAGCCTCGACAGTCTAAGTGAACTTGTTAATATTGGTAATTTTCTTCGAAGGACTGTCTTGGTGACCTACTACTTGAAAACCATTAACCCTCCGATAATTTATGATGACTGAAATATCTTACTTTCCGAAAACTAAGAAATAAATGACTGCGCGTTCCGGCTTTTGTTACAAGTCCATGTTAAGTATAAAAAAATATTTTTCGTATCATATAAAATCACATTTCGGATACGTTGATTGCATAATCATTTAATTCAAAAACATCACGTAAACGTCTTTAACTGCTACAGTAGAATGATTTTTTAAACTAGGTTAAAAAGAATTTAAGTGCATGTCTCGAAATAAAAGAATAAAAAATAAGTAATGCACTTGTAACAGTTAAACACAATTTAATATAAATTCAATTTAACACAGTGTAATTTCACAGCATCTGCATTTGTTTTGTTTGTATGGTTATCTAGTGTGCTCTGTCATGTGTGTTCTATGAAATAGGTATGTGTTTTTTGAATATAAAACATCGCAAATATTATTTCTATATGTATTTTAACTTACGGTCCTGAATCCGTCTCTGATTTTTAAGTCATATACGATTCACTCACGGACCTTAATCTTACGTAATTTTCTTTTGGGGCAGTAGATTTTTCTCAAATATTTTCTAATTCACTACAGCAAATACACACGTAGACACACATTTTTTTATTACTGTGTTATTATTGGAAATTTAAAATCATTTAAATATAATAGAATATTATATGGCGTCTTGTCCAAATAAAAATACTCATGTGAATATAATTTTTATTGTAGTTTCGCTCACTGTATACAAGCTAACAGAAACACCGTAATTTTTTGGCAATTTAGCCGGCTTTATATAAAGTTAGCAATATCGTCACTAATGTATCTCTCTCTTACTTTGTATAATAATTAATTTTCGACCTGCATATATTTTGTATGATAGCTTTAGGTTCCAGCTGTCGTTCTTGTAAGGATTAGGTCCACGTAAGTAGATAAGTAGACAAACAAACTTCTACGCCTATGCTTGCTGAACTGGGTCAAATGCATTAACAAGAATTGATTTTCACCTATGAATAATTTCACCTACTAATTTGTTAATGTGAGTAAAACACCACGGGACATACTAGACCAGGCCGTACGATAATGAAAGGGATGAAACAGATTGGCTGATAGAGTGCTTGTGAATCGAAACGATTTGGGTGGTCTCTCTTTTTTATAACTTTTCTCAAATCATTTGTATAAAAAATACCATATTTTTATTTATTTTTTATCGTTTTGTTTTTTATACAAAAAAAAGAGTAAATGTAAAAAAAGGTTGCTAATTATTCTGAATTTTTCAGTAGAAAAATGAAGGTTAAAGAAAATTTTATTGAAATTGCAGTAAAAATGTCTAATTTATGTTTATATATTTTTTTTCGTGAGTGTACGTTTATTAACGAAGAAATGTATTTCATCTGGAGTAAGGCGACCTATTTTTTCTACTCATAATATATAGTTACATGTTCAGTTAAATAAAAATGAACTTTTATACTACGTAGCGTATAAATATTTTTTTGGTAGTTTCCATGTAATATTTTCACAATTGTCGCCGTTTGGTAAGTCGAATATTATGATTTTATTTCGGTTCTATAATATTTCTAGTAGTTGTACAGGTTCACCACCAAAAGTTGTTAGATTTGATTATAATCTCGTTATCTTTGAAAGTATCAGAAAAATACATAAAACAATATTTTTTTTTTAATTTTCATAAGTAAATTATTTCCTTTATCCAAAGATCAAATCAAATTAAATCAAAATTTTGCTAACACGGTTATGCCCCATTATTTTGCCCATATCTCATGTACTATTAAAAATAAACCTACCAAATCCTATATTACTGTAACCTAATAATTTATATTCTAATCTAATATTTTCGCGTGATGGGATTAGCTGATAAAAGGGTTCATGTAATTTTAGTTAGTATATTATTTCAAGTAACAAAATCATAAATTTTACATTTTCATGTTCCTCTCTTTGGAGACGAAAAAACATATTTTCTTCTCTACAGAGAAAAAGTGTAATTTTCTTTTTGACTGAGCTGTGAGAAAACTGTTACTTTCGCATATACCGTACGCGCCTAAGGTATGGAATAAATGCAGTAAAAATGAAACAAATTTTTTTGGGAAAAATCCTCGAACAGGTGATTTTTAATTTAAAAAAATACATATTTTAGCATAAAAGGCGATTTTCAACCGTCATTTGTTTTCGAGTAATGACGTCATCGACATATTTTTTAAATAGCAATCCCCTATTTTTTTCCTGATTCTGAAAGATCGTTTCATTGTCGATCCGACAGTATTAAAATGTTGCCATCTTACATAGGAAAGTTTTCGAGTAAATGACGATTGAATGTTAGAAAACGTAAATTTTATTCATTAAAAAAATAACAATTCCTAACAATTCATTATGTTTTCTACCTAAATTAAGTGTTCGAATTGCCACCCACCGACTTCTTGACAATACGCAAGTCTGTGTAAAAATTCTTCTTGCGCATTATGAATTATTTCTGGGGTAACTCTGTGTATTTCATCTGTAATACAATTTTGGAGTTCTTCTAAATTATGTGGACTATTAACGTACACTTTAGATTTTAAGTAGCCCCATAAGAAATAGTCCATGGTGTAAGATCTGGGGATCTCGCGGGCCATTCTATCGGTCCTCGTCTGCCGATCCACCTCCTAGGAAAACAATTGTCCAGAAAATCTCGAACAGGGCGCGCATAGTGCGGAGGTGCACCGTCTTGCTGAAACCATATGGTGTCATCAGGAATATCAGGGTCATTATCGTTAGGAAAAATTACTGCAAGCGCTGGAACAAGGTCATTTTGTAAAAACTCTAAATATCTTTCTCCTGTAAGGGTTCCTTCAAAGAAGAAAGGCCCTACTATTCTGTTGTCAACTATTCCAGCCCACACATTTAATTTCTGTGGGTGTTGGGTATGTGTCTCTGCCATCCAATGAGGATTTTCCCGACTCCAATACCTGCAAGTTTGACGGTTCACTGTACCATTGAGACAAAACGTGGCCTCGTCTGAAAAAAGTATTTGCCGGTGTAAATCTCTATTTACTTGACATAAATCCATCATAATTTCACAAAAGTGTAAGCGGCGGTAGGGATCGTCTTCATTGAGTTCCTGCATAAGTTGAATTTTGTAGGGATGGTATTTTTCCTGCCTCAGGATACGTAGCACTGTGGTCTGACTAATTTCATTGTTTAATGCAACCAATCGAGAAGTATTATGAGGTTTATCTACCATACTTATCAAAATGTTCTGTTTGTGATCTTCACTAACGCTTGGACGTCCAGGTTTTGGAATATTTACAACATTTCCATTTTCTCTAAATTTAGATTATATCTTACTGAATGTTGATTGGCTGATACGGCGATCTGGATATTTTTCATTAAATAAATCGCAAACTTCCTGCTGCGTTCTAGTCTTATCCCCGCATCCGATAAGAATTAAAATTTCAATTCTTTGTGTGACAGTTAAATGTGCCATAATACTTTAAATACAACAATATTTTTTATATCGCTTACAATACTTAGAAAGTCGGTATGATAATGATACTTTGTAAAGATTTACACCTACGTGATCAATAAAAAACTTCAGGCATTTCGAAAAACTAAATTTGATAACGTTTTTGATGATTGATTTGGGTTTTCTAACATTCAATCGCCATTTACTCGAAAATTTTCCTATGGAAGATGGCAACATTTTAATACTGTCGGATCGACAATGAAACGATCTTTCAGAATCAAGAAAAAAAATAGGGGGTTGCTATTTAAAAAAAATGTCGATGACGTCATGACTCGAAAACAAATGACGGTTGAAAATCGCCTTTTATGTTAAAATATGTATTTTTTAAATTAAAAATCGACCTGTTCCAGGATTTCTCCCAAAAAAAATTGTTTCGTTTTTATTGAATTTATTCCATACTTTAGGCGCGTACGGTATAAATAGAAAAAATATTTTACAAGTACAAATATAAAAATTGGGTCTTCTTTGGCATCTTTTCATTTCTAAACAGGGAGTTGCTCTGTGCTCTGGGTTTTGTTGGTTGTCGACTTAGCGCTTTCCGGATATAATCGGTTATGCAATAGTAGTTTCAATGTATGGATTATGAATGAAAAAAGGTGTAGAAATACAATTAAAAGTGCTACTCCCAACACAACTAGAAAGGCTGGCAATGGTTTGTTCCAGTCTAGTATAAAATATACGTATCCTGAACCACCTCTGAAAAAAAATTAAGTATTACCAACTATTTCTATTCCTGGGTTACGTACAAAACAGAATATAAATATATAAATAAGCAAAACGGATCGATTTTCCAATAAAGCACTTACCTGTTAATGTCATAATAATAATAAGCCACACTGAATATGGCATAGGATACCCCAAACATTAAGGGATATACAAAATGGAGAATTCGAATCGGATGACCAATAATCAACAGATCTATGAACAGTAAAATCGAATTACAACCGTGGACGAAGAAGCTTAAAAGCACGAAAGGCATACCTGAAACAGAAAAAAATAAATTTCCTAATGATATAGACAAGGTATAACATATTTATCACCATGTTGTATAAAAAATTATAGGCTGTAATCGTATCTCAAAACAAAGAAAAAGAAAGTAAGGATTTTTATCTACTCCTATTAATTTATATATTAATTATTCAACTGCTTTTGAGCAATTAATAATATCAATAAACAAGTAGCGTGAGTTTTTATAGTGAGTTATTATAACTCACGCTGGGCTTCTACAATGATAATTCGGTATGTAAATAGTGTACGCAGTAAATTCTTGGAAATTTTTAAGCCGATAAATACGTTCCATTGGTGTAAAATGGAAAGAATTTTTAACAAGCGGAAAGGAATGAATAATTAAAAGATTTTAAAATTATTAAATTGCCAACGCCTCTCAGTAGGCGGAACTGTCAATTATTATCATTGAGGGGACTAATGTCATTTGATATTTTAACAAAATAATTTTGACGTTTTCAAATCAATTTCTAATAATAGTCCTAAAAAAGATGAATTTAGATAGCGAAGATGAGTTATTATGTACACCTCCAGAAATAAGAGAAGTAGCTAATAATGCAATACAGAATTTATTACCAGAAAAATCAAAAAACAAGTATAAAGGTGTATATAAAAATTTTCAAGATTGGTGTAGCAATAAAAACGTTAACTCGTTTACAGAAAATGTAGTCGTAGATAAAGTATAGTATTCAACTTGCGGTAATGGTCATAACTCACTTGATGAATTACAGCACTCGCCTGCGGCTCGTGCTGCAAACTTCATCTGCGTGAGTTATGACCTGCATTACCGCTCGTTAAATAATATACTATTA